GATCTCCTTTTCTTTAACTCAACAATTTTTCATGCTTTGTTTGGAACCCCTCCCTGTACCACAGTCCAGAAATTGTCTCCAAGAAGAAAGCTTAGGTGTGCTAGGATTCACCTTGGTTATTTCTTTTCTCTCAGGGATCACAGTTCTGAACTCCCTATTGCCCAATGTCTGAAAACCTTTTCCCCATATCTTGTCTTCAAATTGTCTATAGTGGGAACATAATTCTGGATTCAGTTATTTGCCAAAAGCAGAAGATGCCTCACAATTTTTGGAGCTATTTTTCATAAAACCCATCTGACAACTTCCACTACATTATCATTAGCCAGGACTTAGTGACATGACCACTTCTAACTGCAAAGGCAGCTGGAATGTATAATTGTTTAACTGGATACATTACAAACACACATACACCCCAATGAAAGTGTTCTGTTACATGGAGGGAGGAGGAGAGAAAGGGAAGAGTATCATGCTGGCAACCAGCAGTTTCCACTGCAACCCTTTATCTCGTTTTTATCCATTGTATAAAACTTTTAAATGGCTACAAGTTGTTTTACAGTATGGATATATCATTTACTTGACCATTCCTCTTGTTAATAGACATTTAACTTGTCTGCAGTTTTTTGGGGGGTTTTTTTGCCACTACAAACCTAGGTATACATACATTCTCCCTTATATTCATATATATATATATATTAGTGTCTAAACTTATACAACAAAAGAAATGGGTAATTTTTATTAAAATATTTTTACCAAAACCTTGACTTAAAAATAAAAAACTAGAAAGCTAGAATAAACAAGAACAGACCAAAAGAAAAAGGAATAGAAAAAAGAGCAAGTCCAAATGGTTAGTAAATATATAAAAAGTCACTATACTTCACTAGTAGTTAAGGATGCAAATTAAAGTAACGATATTACTTCTCATTCAATATACTGCCAGAAATTAAAGTGATAATGTCTGTTAGCAGTGTTTGTGTGTGTGTGTGTGTGTGTGTGTGTGTGTATATATATATATATTTATTTATATATATATTTTTTTATTATATATATATTTTTTATTATATACTGGAATATTAGAAATAATAGCAATCAGTATGACATGGATCCCACCAACCAGCCAAAAATTTTGCTAGCTCAGATAAAACAGATGCCACCTGTACACAAATGGATGGTTATGCTAGTGTTCAGTGATGAAAATTAACTATGCATATATATGCATAAAGATATCCTTCCATAGTATTTGTGCTTTTATATCTTTAACTTTTTCATTCTTTTTCTATATCTATTTCATCCTTTATCCCATCTTTTGAGGTGTTTTTTTTTTCATGTTTTTCATACCTAATATTACTATTCGGTTATTTTATTAATTTTAATTCCATATTGATATCTTCCCTTAGGTCTTTTAGTATACTTATTGTAAACTCTTAGTTTTTCTGTTGTAATATATCTTTTTTTATGTTAACTTTTTCTGTTGAGGCAGTTTTAGTTTCAGGTATCCTATCAGAAGTTTTATTCCCATGGGGATGTTTGACTACCTCATCTGTGCATTAGAAAAGGGTGGCTGTCCAGGTCCTAGTCCACACATTCAGATTCCTGGCTCTGGTCAGCTTCAAACAGGAGATGAGCCCTCGGGCAGAGTGCCTTAGTCACTACAGATCCACTCCCATCGGCCACCCCTTTATTTTATTACCCTATCTAGAAATTCCTTAGATCTGAGCCTTACCTTTGAACTCTCAAATGAGAAATAATACTCTCAATAATACTACTACTCTCGAGTATTAGCAGGGGTACTCCCCAATTGTCATCTACCAGCTCTGGGGTTTTGAATAAGGGCAGGAGAGTAGATTCCTGAGGCTTCTCATTCCCACTCCGCTGGCCCCAGGTGGTTTGGTCCTGCCCGGATTTCACTGCTGGGGCATCTGGGGGCTTGTCTTGGCTTTCTGCAGGGGGGCGGCAGGCAATAATGGATCCAAGGGAGAGTCGAGGGGTGGGAGGTGTGGCATGATTGGGGCAGCTCTTCTTGAACAACCTCTCTGTGGATTTTTCATGTTTGTATTATTTCTTAGAGTCCATGCTTCCATTTTTAGTTCCTTCAGGGTTGATTTGGGAGCGAGAAACCCATATTAATTTGACATCTTGGCAGGAACTAGAACATCCTATTTTGGTCTGCACTGGAACATGTGGTTGATGCAGAAAATAAGCTATATCAACAATTTTGGTTTTTACCCTAAGAACAATGAGAAGCCATTGAAGGTTTCAAGATGTGTGATGATAAGACTTTAAGAAGACTACTCTGGCTGCAATTGGACAATCAGATTGGTGGTGAACTAGAGTCAATACAAAGATAAAGTTAGAAGGCTCTGACAGTGTCCAGATAAAACATCATGGTGGCCTATACCAAGGTGATGGAGAAAAAGTAGATGAATTCAAGAGATACAAATTTAAATTGCTGGATCCTAATGATAGGCTGAATTTATGGGGGAGGGTGAGAGAAATATCAAAGATAAATCTTAAATTGTAGGCTTGCATAACTGAATGAATATATTTTGTTTGGGAGAATGGGAAGGGGTTGACAGTAAATGTGGGGCATGTAAATCTGTGGTGCCATAGAAATAATTAGGAGCTGTCTAGTAGGCAGCCGAGGACATAGACTTGGAATTCAGAAAGAACAGCTGAGCTAGAGACATAAGAAAATGACTTACACACTTATAAATGGATGGAATAGCCTTGAGAGAGAATTCAGAATGGGAAAGCCACCCAGGAATGAGCCTGGAGGGACTCCAGCATTTAATGGCTGGGAATTATGGACTGAATCCTGTCCTCCAACATTTGTGTTGAAGGCTTGACTGTATTTGTAGATAGTGCCTTTGAAGAGGCATTAAGTTAAAGGGAGGCGAGTAGGGTGGGGCCTAATCCAATCTGAGAGGAAATTTGGGCACACAGAGATACCAGGGGTATGCGCACAGAGGATAGACTGTGAGGATATAGGGTGCAGGCAGCCCACTGAAAGCCAAGGAGAGAGGCCTCAGAAGAAATCAAACTTGCTGGTATCTTGGTTTTGAACTTCAAGCCTCCAGAACTGTGAGAAAATAGTTGTTTTTGAAGCCACACAGTCTATGGTATTTTGTTATGGCAGCCCTAGCAAACTAAAAAGATAATGGGAAAAAGTTGTGCCAAGATGACAGAAGGTAAGCTCCTGAGGGTTATGTTGTCATGGAAGAGTATCTTGTCACAGAAGCCAAGGCCAGAGTGCTTCAAGAAATAGGAAGCAGTCAACAGTGCTGAATTCTGCTCAGAGATTGAGAACTGAAGAACGTTCTCCGGATTTAGTGACTTGGAGGTTGTTGGGGTTTTTTTTTTGTTTTTTTTTTTAAGATTTTATTGGGGAATTGGGGGAGGGAAACAGCATTGGGGAATCGGGGAAGGGGAACAGACAAGTTGCTGTCCTTTTGTTCTTCAGTCTAGTTGTGGAGGACGTCGCTTCACTGGCCTATGTTGGTATTATCATTGTACTCTTCCCGGGTGAGGCAGTCGGTCACCAGCCTCTGGACGGCCACTCACGGCAGCTCTTGGCAGCTCACGCTGGCTGCTGGCCGCTCACGCTGGATGCCAGCCACTCACGGTAGCTTATGGCAACCCACTGCAGTTTCACTGCAGCCTACACCGTCGCCTCACGACAGCCCAGCTCCAGGTCGAGCTGTTGTTCACCATCTTAGCTGTAGAGGGCGCAGCGTCACTGGCTCTCATGTGGGATCCGAACTGGGGCCCTGCTGCTCAGAGCTGGCATCTCAAGCCAGCTCTTAACCAACGTGGCACTCAGCCGGCCCTCATTGGTATTCTTCACACAAACTCTTGGTGGGGTGATGGTGCAGAAAGTCAGAACGGTGTGGGTTTAAGAGTGAGTGGAACGTGAAGAAATAAAACCAATGACTATGGACAACTTTTGAGGTTTGGCAGTGATGGGGGAGGAAATAATGAAGAGTTATTGTTAATGGGAGAGACTTGACCTTTTCTACAAGTCAATGGACATGTTCTAATTTAAAGGAAGAAACCGAATATATAAGAATAGGAATAAATGGCAGAATAACATTCTTGAGAAGGATAAAGACAGAGCTTACAGCAGAGATTGAGGAGCCGGGACTAACCTTTTTGCTAATGTAGGGAAAGGAAGTATGGAGGGATGGTTGTTCATTTTCTGGCTGGTGAAGGTCTGAGGGTTTTCCTTCCTAAAATGAAATCTCAGTTCAACGTTGTCTTATACCTAATGTCATTTCCTCTCATATTGTGGCGTTTGGCTGGTTGGTTGTCTATTCCCAGTGTGGTTGTGTTTGCACCTCAATGCCATTGGTATTTTCGTGAGAAGCTGAGAGAAGCATCAAAGGGCAGTTGCTATTCAGACACCATAAAAATGACAAGTTTCTGTAGTCTCAAGTTTTATATTTAAGTACTTAAGCCATCTGGAGTTTATGATATATGTGGGAAGTCTAACACTTTCCCCAAATTGCTAGCCAGCTGCTCTCATGCCATTTCAATTCAATATGTCAGTACCTACTAATGGCTCTGTGTGATATGAAAAATAAATGAGAAATCATCTTTCTCAAAGACCTTAGTATTTAGGGAAGGATTACGTAAATATAACAGAATATAAGGTGTTAACAATTAAGTGCCATAAACCCAATTACCGTTAGTAGTTCAAGCAGAGAGAGGGACAGTTTCCTAGATTCGACAGGGGACAATGGCGGGCAGAAAGGGGTTTAGAGGAGGGAGGCGCCCCAGGGCAAGGCACCAGCAGAAGCACAGGCCGAAGTGAGGAACTGATGTCTTCGGAAAATAAGGAAGATCCTGGTGGAAGGTAACTAATGCTAGAGAGAGTTTATACTTCACTGAATAGACAGGAAAACACAGGAAACGCACTGACCTAGAGATCGTTTGAGGCTCAAAAACGGCTGATTCAAGCTTAATTAACTTAACAGGATGTAGATTACATGGTTGGGACAAAATAATTAAACAAGCTACCACGAAAAGTTTATTTAAAAAAAAAATTTCCGTGTACATATAGAAAAATGTCAAAAGATTCAAGTTCCTCACTACCTTATGTTTAGGGCACAAACATCTCTACAAATGCTCATTAGTGACTAAAATCTTGCCTGTCTTCTTGGCTTCATCTTACTCTTCTCAGAGGGGAGGCTAGATGGCATCAAAGATATGCTGCGGAAGAAACAGAACGAAATCCATGGGCTAAACAGAGTAGGTAGCTTCTCTCATTCTTCCTTCCCAGAGAACGACACCCCTTTGATGGGAAGAGTGCGGGATTGTAAAGATATGCAAGACATACGGAGTGCAGCAGGGCAGCTCTGAGGTGGGCAAGGAAGGCAGGAGTTGCCTTAGAAGGTGACACGTTTAAGGGCGCATGCATTACGTGTTTTCTGATCTCCTGTGTTGTTCTGCCCAGCTTGCCAGGAGACAGAGGCTCATGGCCCAGAGCCTCAGCCAGAGAAGGCCGTGCGGCTGGAGCACGGGGGATGGAGCGCAGAGTGAAAAGGAAGCCTCCCCCTCTCTCAAAACAACAGCTGCGCTGAAAAGCTCAGCGCTGCTCCCGTTGGGAGCGAGTGTCCTGCCCTGGTGCTTCTCCTGTGCAGAACCATCACCGCCAGCCCTACGCGACCCGCTCTAAGAAGCAAGTGCAGCTTTCGGACGATTGAGTTTTCTCTGTATCTGCTCATACCCCACCCGTGTGGACTCTGGCTGCTTCGGAAGGCACGTGCCCGAGGTGAGGCCTCACGGCTCTCTGCCTGGTGGAGTCCAATTCTGCTTCCAGTTGCAGGACAGACTTAAAACGCCAGTCAAGAGGGTCTGAGTTCTTCTAATAACCTGTGTGCCAAGGGCTAGTGGTGACAGTACTAGATAGGAGGCAGTGAAAAGGAGAGTAGTAAGTTTTATAGTAAAGAATCATGAATTTAGGACCTAAGAGGTCTTGAACACAGATGCTGAATCGCTGAAGCATGAAGGTGCCAGGGAGAGTCGAACAGACTGTACAGCCCAGGTGCTGAGGGCAGCACCTTCCTTAGAAGGTCATGGTCCTGCCTGAGTCTCCCATTAGCCAGGGGTCCCTGAAACGAGGGCCCTGGCTGAGGCTTCTGAAGAGCCCCCCAACAGCACTGTGGGTGTTGAGGGCCCCAGGGCAGCAGAAATGAGGCTGGCTAAGGGGCGTTGGCAAAAGCTGAGCCCTCCCGTACAGAAGTGGGAAAAGTCACAGCTTGGCGGGGTGTCTCCCCCAGGACGCCTTCTCCGGTGGTCTCAGCCCCCTGCTCTCCCCATGGTGGGGCAGCTCTGTGCCATCCCCACGATTCCCTTTTTTCTTGAGGCTGAGCTGCTGGGTGGGAAGGGGAAAGGAGGCCTCTGGTTTCCCGGTGACATCGGACAGGCTTTCAGGCCAACGTGTATTCTAGGTCTCGACGCTGAGCAGCGTGAAAAGGGCAGCGTGAAAAGATCAGGGGCCTCGCGTCTCAGTCTCTGCCCCTCGGAGGCTTCCTTCCCAGGGCATGAAGTGGCCGCAGGCTTCCTCCTCCCAGAGCCACCCTCTTCCGTTCCCTTTCATTTCTCCTTAATCCACACGGCCTTTCCCTCTCTAACGAAATCAGTCTAATAGAGAAGAAAACTAGACGAAGGAAAGCAAGCAATGAAACCATTATTCAAACAGCTGTGCAAACTGGGGCCCTGACAAGCTGCCCAAGGGCTGTCCTGAGTGAGGGGTGCACTCCTGTATTACAGGCACCAGACCAGAGTACCACATCCGGGAGAACCGCGTTAGAATTCAGAAAAGGAGTAACGCAGAGGTCCACTGGATCCCGATTCCTTCTGAAATGCTGTAACAGTGGCTCTGAGCTGGGATCTTCTCAGGGGCTGCTGACAGTGGGTCTGACGCTGGGCCGGCTAAGGTACCAGCTGTCCTGAGGAAGAGGGGTGCTGGGCCTGAGGGGTGGCAGCCTTGTTTCTAGGAAAGTAGTATCTGATAAGGATGGTCAAGGAAGAGAACACGTCATGGCTTTAAAACCAGCTTTGCTAACACTACTAGTTGTCTAAGTTAGTAAGTGTTGCAATAACCACTTCAGAAGTCGCGTGCCTTTACCTCCCTTTCACCAGATCATAAATCCTTCCCATGTCATTAGTACTTGTACCACTGGTAGCTGACACACCAGAAGTCTTTTGATACGGCTTAGACGGTGCAGGCATACAAAACACGACTTCTCCACTAAGTTTTTATAGTGACTCAAGTACCTTCAAGACCACTGCTGAGTGAATGAATTTCAGCAGTCTCTAAGTAAAAAGACAGAGATTCTGATAATAGCATTTGGGGAGAGGAGTTTCTTCCAGTGATGTTGGGCCCAGGGTAAGAGTTCAAACCGTGGTAACTTGACAAAATAAGTAGGTCACTAGAAGAAAATACTGGTCTAGCAAAAGCGGACTAGATCCTAACGGTCAAATGAATTTCATACTGCTCCTTAAGAATACATTGAATAGGTTCAGAAATAAAGTGGTTCACTTGTATGGTTTCCTGTTGGTTTATTTTAGTGAACCGAGTGAAGTGAATCAGGCCTTGGTCTACAGGCCTGAAGGATCTCTAGAGAACTGAGGTGAGAAAGATGTACTGTGGTACCAAATGGCAATTGTTCAATTGATTCCCCCTTCCCGTATCTTTTAGTCTCGCTGTTGGCACCCAGAAATGCTTGCCTGTATCTGTCCCCGTGGCTTTATATACAAGTTAGAAGGTGCTTCTTAGATTTTCTCTCATTAAAGAGGGGCAGAGTGAAAAACGTGGCAGAGGTGGACTGGGCCTTGGATTAAACAGCGATAGCAGAAATCGTAAGACATTTTCCCGTTTGATCTGGGCGAGCGCCGTATTAGGATAAAAAAAGGATACATGGAAGTTGGGATGCCTTTTGAGGCCAAGTGTTTCCGAATAAGTCGCTCAGTACCGTACCAGTTAAAGCCTTTCGTGGCGTGTCCAATGCGTGGAAGATGGACGCTTGCTGTTACAAAGAAAAAAAGAATAGATCGTGATGTCTTCATTTATCAAAGACTGATTGATGGGTGTAATATACACATAGGAGAAAATAATCATTCCTCTCAGTCACTTTGTGGTTTCCAGTGGACAAAACGTATAAGGATGGAGTGTTCCACTCAAAGCATACAACTATAACGTCAAAAATACTCTGGAAACAGATTGTGATAGGGCAAAAATGAGACAATTCTATTGAATGCGAAGTATCTGGATATAAGTAGGTATGGTGAAAAGAGAGAATGACCTAGGTGGAGATGTAACTAAAATAAGCAGAGTCTTTAACAAGCCAGCGAGTTCAACAAACTGAGACACACTGGGTTTGGAACAGTCCACGGTGGTTTTTGGCAGAGAACTGTCAGCTGATGTGGACTGTGACCCTCCAGGAAGGGACATGCTCCATGCATTTCCTAGCTCTCTGGTGCTCTGTGAGATCACGAGGCATGTGCCCCAGCAGATGCACACACACGGATACGGAAGTGATGTGGAAAGGAGAAAGGGCTTTAAAAAAACCACATGAGGAGATGGTTACTTCTAGCGCCTCTCACACTGGGGCTCACCATTACCATGTCGACTGAATTGACATGCGGTCTTGACATTTCTCACCGCCCCTTAAAAATCACATCACACACCTGCGAATGGAACGCCATCTAACTACTGAGCACACATGGAAGCGCTTACCTTTCTTTTTCTTTGCTGCTAAAAATATCTTCTTCAGGCCTTCTTCTAGGGCTGCCATCTTAATGCCAGAGAGGACATTGGAGCGGTCACGGTGTTGAGCCACAATCAAGGCCAACTAGGAACAAACCACCGTTAATGGCTGCCGCAGCACAAGATAGTAACGCTGTCAACTAGGTGACCTGCCCAGGGCGGGGGTGTGAGCAGCCCCCCGGCTGGCCCTTCTGAATGGCCTGTCCGAGCAGCCATGTCCTAACAAATCTATGACCTCACGCCCCCTCATAACTGTTTTATTTCCTGGAAACTTTATATATACTTTTCTTCCTTTTAAGAGATATTAAAACCAGAGTCCAAGACATGCTGTCCTTTCTAAATGCTCTCGAGGGTAAAGAAGGAATTTTCCAGAATCCTAGAAAGGCCTCTAGAGGTCCTGATACTCCGGCCCACATGGCGGACACTCGAGTCAGCTCGCAACCCCCGGGACAAGCAGTCCTTTGATCTCTGTTCCAAATGCCACCCATCTCCCACCCTGTCCTAACCTAAGCTGGGCAGAGCCGGAGAGCATCACGGGAGCGTGTGGGGCTGACAGCACTGCAGCCACAACACAGTTCCATCGCCATAGAGAGGCTTCCTGAGTCACCAGGTTCTGAGCGCCTTACGCACAACCACTGCGTCCCTCTCATTTTTTTAGCATTTTACAAATGACTGAACAAGCAGGAAGCACTTTGTCATGAGGCACACAGGCCACTAATCTCAAGAAAATGTGCCTCTCTCTCAGTCTGGTTTCTAAACGTCTTCTAAGCCAGTAAGGTTTGGCTCAAAATCTGAATATGAATTCAGGCCTTGGAGAAAGCTAGGTAAACATAGTAAATAAGACACCTGAAGGGAATTCCAAATGACAGGCAAGAGGGAGACACTTAGGATGCAAAAGAAGGACTTTAAAGTAGGCAGCAGAAATGTGGATTGGTCTGTTTATGGCCGGTTAGAAAACACAATCTCTTGCAGAACCTTTCATGGAACAAACGATGAAACCCTCAGAGTTTTCAGTCATGATTTCTTATTCATTCAGCAAATGTTTATTGGGCATTTCCTATGAGTGAGTATTGCATGTGGAATTGAGGATAAAAGACGAAACTAAACTCCCTGTGCTTAGGAGGGGCCTGCCACCAAGGTCAGTGAGGGGAAGGAGGAGGCAGAGAACAATGCTCCAGGGGCTGTGAGGATGGAAGTGTGGCAGCCGGGGGCACACAGCGGAAGGTGAGGCCCAGCCTGCTTGTTACAGGCTGAATGGAGTCCCCCCAAATTCATCTTGGAGCATTAGCCCTCAGTACTTCAGAATGTGACTGTATCTGGAGATCAGGCCTTTAAAAAGGCAATGACCTTCACATGAGGCCTTCAGGGTGGGGCCTAATCCCATCTGACTGGTGTCTTTCTAGAGGGAACTGGACACACACAGACACCAGGGATGCACGCACACACGGGCAAGGCCATGTGAGGGCACAGCATGAAGGCGACCACCTGCGAGCCGAGGAGAGAGGCCCCAGAGGAAACCATCCCTGTCGGCACCTTAACCTTCACTGTGAGGAAATAGGTTCCTGTCTTTCAAGCCCCCCAGTCTGTGCTACATTATGGCCGCCGGAGGAAACTAATGCCCTGCTACAGAGGCCAGGGGGAGCGGGGCGGGGGGGGTATCTTAAGAGGGGGTGACGGGAGCCCAATCTGAGCTCTAATAAGAGGTATGATTTTTTTTTTTTTACTTACCAAATCTTGCCCTTCGTTTCTTGACTCTTTATCATCAATGGGGAATAAAAGGACACCTCCCAAACTCAAGTCTGAGGTAAAATAAAATGCAACAGAGTAAGTTCATTAGGGACTGAACCCCTGGACAGGGAACTATTTTGACTCCAAATCCAACCAGGTTTCCCATCTTCCTTTTCTCACTCTCCTGGCCTCAGTCGCTGCCTGAGCCAAGTACTTGCTTCACTTAACTTTTTTTTTCTCCTCAAAGACTTGTTTTCCTACTTCATACTTATTGTACAACGGTTTACTATTTACGTTTACGGAGCACCCTACTGTCCCAGGTATCGTGCTCTAACCGTGGGGATTCAAAGATGAACAAGACAACGTTCTCTATCAGTGCCCTCACTTCTGTGTCTTTGAAGAGTTCAGTCCTGCCGGAAGCGTCTTACCCTCCATTCTGTGTCATCTGGGCCATTTGGATGCCGACCTAGTTTGCCAGGTCATATATGCACTACTGTCATGAAGGTAGGGCTTACTTCCCCACACAGCACAATTTTTACAGAAGTATCATTGCTCCAGAGGCTGGCACAGTACCTCACACACAGAAAATAATACTTTTTGAAGAGAAATTACTTGGCTAAGGTAGACGAACATACTTCTTTCCTGCCTCATGTACAAGGTTTTATGGCATAAACAAATGTTCTTCTTAATTCAGAAATACAAATGGAATCAATAAGGCTTGAAAGAAAAGTGTCTGTTAAGTCCATTCAAAAGATATCTGGTTAAGTTTGAGTTCTCAAGGTAAACCCACAATTGGGGTAATTCGCCTAAACAAATTGGCGATTCAATTGTTTATTGTTTTTCTACAGGAAATAAAACCAAGGGGATGAAAGAATGTCACCTTTTAAAATTCTCTGCAAGCAATTAAAAAGCTGCATTCTCTTCTAAGTAAGATTCAGGACAGAACCCGTTTCTTGGGCAAGGAGTTGATACTGACGCTGGCTGCAGAGGGCCTGACCGGAACCCACACCTAGCAGTAGGTTCTAAAGGTACAATATTTTTACATGTTTCTTCCCCTACTCTGTGGCCAGAATGCTGAAGTGAGGAATATTGTTAGGAACAGTTTAAGTTTTATTTTGTTTGTTTATTTCCATCCCCGCTCTCTCCCCTTCGGCAACTATCAGCGTGTTCTCTGTATCTATAGGTCTGTTTCTGTTTTTTCATTTGTTTTTTTAGGTTATACATAGGAGTGAAATCATATGGTATTTGTCTTTCTGTGTCTGACTTATTTCACTTAGCATAATGCCCGCTAGGTCCATTCAAGTTGCCGCAAACGGTAAGATTTCATTCTTTTTTATTGCTGAGTAATATTCTACTATATATCAATATACCAATTCTTCTTTATCCATTCATCTGTTGATGGACATTTAGGTTGCTTCTATATCTTGGCTATTACTAGTAATGCTACACTGAACAAAAGGATAAATATCTTTTTGAATTAGTGTTTTGTCTGTTTTCTTCAGATAAATACCCAGAAGTGGAATTGCTGGGTCACATGGTAGTTCCATTTTTAAGTTTTTGAGGAACCTCCATACTGATTTCCACAGTGGCTGCACTAATCTGCAGTCCCACCAACAGTGAGTGCACCAGGGTTCCCTTTTCCCCACAACCTCGCCAGCACTTATTGTTTGTCCATTTATTGATGATGGCCATTCTGACCAGGTGTGAGGAGGTATCTCATTGAGGTTTAAATTGGCATTTCTCTGATGATTAGTGATGTTAAGTATCTTTTCATGTCTACTGGCCATATGTACGTCCTCTCTGGAGAAATGTCAGTTGAGGTCCTCTGCCCATTCTTTAACTGGATTGTTTGTTTTGGGGGATATGTTGTATGAGTTCCTTATAAATTTTGGATATTAACCCCTTACTGGATGTATTAGTGGCGAATATATTCTCCCATTCAGTAGGTTGTCTTTTCATTTTGTTGATGGTTTTCTTTGCTGTGCAAAACTTTTTTGTCTGATGTAGTCCCATTTATTTTTTTCTTTTGTTTCCCTTGCCCAAGGAGACATATGTGAAAGAACGATGTCAAAGTTTACTGCCCATGTTTTCTTCTAGGAGTTTTATGGTTTCGAGTCTTCCATTGGAGCTCATTTTTGTATACGGCGTAAGAAAGCAGCCCACCACGGGGACCTGTTTTCTTAGCTCCAGTCCACCAGAGCTCACATGTGGATGCACACAGGGGTGCACACAGAAGCCAGCAGCAGCGTGGGGGGATGTGTGGGTTTAGCACTCAGTGCCCTGGGGGTGCCCATACACCTGGCAGTGAGATCCCCAGGGGTGGTCTCTGCAGGCTGACGCATGAACTTCCTGCTGAGCACAATCCCTCTGACGCCACCGGAAATCCCTAGCTGCCTCTTTCCCAGTGCCCTCCCTCCTGTCTAGGCACACAGCTCCCACTTGGATGCTGGTGGAGCGAAACGGGTTTCTCCAGCTGCCCTCTGCCCGGCTCGGGGAGCTGGGCACTCGCTCCCTACTTTCCTTTTCCCCGTGGGAAAGGTTGCCTTGGCCGGGTACATCAACCCCTTGCAGTGCTTCCCTAGGGGAGAGGTGACACTGGGAAGGTTCCTCACACCACCCCCACGGCAAGCAAACTCCGATTTTTCTTTTTCTTTTCTTCAGTGCTGTGCTGGAGTCTCCCTTTGCCAAGGCTGGACTTCTTCACGTTCTCTCCTGTGTGTGGGTACCTGGCCAGGGCACCCTCAGCCGGTGTTTCTGCTGCAGTGGTGAGGGGGCAGGCAGCTTGGCTGGCGCCCTGGTTCCTCAGCCCCTGTGAGGTGTTTCTGTCATGTATTAGTTGCACTGGGAGTCAGGCCCCTTCTAGGTCCCAAAAGACCCACCAAGGAGCTTCTGTTTCTGCATGGATGTCTACTTCTTCAATTACACGGGGGAAATGTTTTACGCCACCACGTTGCTGACATCACCCATTTTCACTCCTAAATTAGGACGATCTCCTAATTCCACGCCCTCAAGCATTACCTACAAAGTACTCCTGCAGGCATCGGAGAGTAAGCGTAAACCCAGAGGCGGGTGGGCGGCTGGGAGCGGACTTTAGAAGTTCTTTAGAAGTCATTTAGAAGTCTCGTGTTTGTCTTAAACTGTTCAAATATTGCATTCTACTATATGTACTTGTGTATTTTCCTACCTCATCCAAATCAAATCACTGATGCTCTACAAAAATGTGCTATGTTCGGGCCGGCTGAGTGGCGCGATTGTTAAGAACTGGCTTGGGACGCCAGAGGGCCCCGGTTCGGATCCCACATGAGGGCCAGTGACACTGCCCTCCACAGCTAAGATGCTGAACAACAGCT